CCTCCAACGCCATGCTTCAGCCCTTTTTTCTCATTGTCAGCTCAGGAGAGAGGAAGGAGGAGGATTTTCAATGCCATATCGAGGCCAAGAGCTCGACTTTGAGTGTGCACGTTCAGTTCATCCATGTGTCTCACGTGGAATGGCTTGAGCAAGATGTAAAGAAATGGACGGATCTGATGGGGGATGGAAAAATAGGTGGAGGGTTTTTTGCTGTGCCTGGTCTGAGAGGGACCTTGGGGGCCCGTGCGAAACCTCCGAGGAATCGAGAGTGCGCCTGGGGCCGACCCAATTTGAACGCCAGAGAGCGAAGTTGTGTCAAGGCCGAGAACAAATACTTGAGAGACTGTCTCGAGCTCGCTTGTGCGGCCGCCTTGCACAAGGTTCCATGGACTTCGATTGTACAGCGCGAAGTTGGGCATGGCTGTAAAATTCAGGATGTGCCCGAGGTTGCTCTGGCGGGAAAAAAGGAAGTGATGGCCTCGCACGTCCTTGATAGTTGCACGTTTGGACAGCACACTAGATGGGAACCAATTACCACGTGGAGCGTGTCCTTAGACACCCTCGAAGGGGAGCTGAGGGAGAAAGGCTGGGGAGTCTGCAGGGGGGCGCACTCCCACATGGGACTTGACGGGAGAGCGCCAAACTGGCAGAGTGATTTGCACGCAGGGTTCTATCATGTGCTTGCGTCCGCTTTCACACATGAGTGGGGGAAAGGGTTGCTGTGCAGTGATGCGGGTGAAGTGGCGAATGTGCTCGGGGGTGGATTCGAGTTCTGGAAGCCCTTGGACCCGTTCCCTGCATTGTAACGGCCCCCGCTCTCTTTTTTGCTGTTGGCCTCCGTGTTGGACTTGACCCCTGATGTCTAACTGCACGTGCCCTGCAGCCCTGCTCCGTAGGAGCGCTCTGTCCTTTTTCCCTTGCCCTGCACCCCACACCTAGGAGAGGCTTCGACTCGAACCGGCCTTTAGTTCCGACCGACCGACCGACCGAGGAGGAGGAGGAGGAGTGCGGGTGAAGTGGTGAATGTGCTCGGGGGTGGATTCGAGTTCTGGAAGCCCTTGGACCCGTTCCCTGCATTGTAACGGCCCCCGCTCTCTTTTTTGCTGTTGGCCTCCGTGTTGGACTTGACCCCTGATGTCTAACTGCACGTGCCCTGCAGCCCTGCTCCGTAGGAGCGCTCTGTCCTTTTTCCCTTGCCCTGCACCCCACACCTAGGAGAGGCTTCGACTCGAACCGGCCTTTAGTTCCGACCGACCGACCGACCGACGAGGAGGAGGAGGGGGAGGAGGGGGGGGGGCGTCTTGAGAGCCTCTCGGGGCACTCTTGAGGCCTCCTGGGGGCTACCTGGGAGCCTTTTAGAGGCATCTTGTGGCCTCCCCTTGGGCCTCTTGGGGCCTCAGGGGGCTTCTCGGGTGCCTCTTTGGTTGTCTTAGGGCATTCCTGGCTCGTCTGACGCCGTCGGACGCCGTCTTGGGGGCCTCTTTGGGCCGACTTGGGGTCCTCTTGGGGTGCTCCAGGGCCGTCTTGGAGGCCATCTTGGGCGTTTTGGATGCCTCTTGGGCTGTCTTGGGGCCCTCTTGGGGCCATCTTCGGGGCCTCTTGGGCCGTTCTGTAGCCATCTTGGAGGCCTCGTGGGCGATCTTGGAGCGATCTTTGGAGGCTCTTGGGCCGTCTCTCTGAGCAGACTTGGGGCCCTCTTGGGTTGCTCCAGGGCCGTCTTGGAGGCCATCTTGGGCGTTTTGGAGGCCTCTTGGGCTGTCTTTGGGTCCTCTTGGGACCGTTTTGGTGGACTCGTGGGCCGTTCTGGGGCCAGCTTGGGGGCCCTCTTGGGAGCTGCTTGGGCGATTTCGGGGCGAACCTTGGGGGTTTCTGGGCCGTGTCGTGCCGTGAGAAGGCCGAGCAAAAGCAAATGCCAAAATCCCTCAATAATTTTGGTCTCTCCGGGCATTCTGGAAGGATTCTTGGAGGCCTCTTGGGCCGTCTTGGAGACCTCGTGGGTGCCTCTTGGGCTGTCTTGGGCCATCTTGGAGCCATCTTGGGTCGCTTGGTGGCCTCCTGGCCCGTCTGACGCCGTCGGAAGCCGTCTTGAGGGCCTCTCTGGGCCGACTTGGGCCCTCTTGGGGTGCTCCAGGGCCGTCTTGGAGGCCAGCTCGTGCGTTTTGGAGGCCTTTTGGCCGTTTAGGGCAGTTTTGTGGGCATCTTGGGCCGTTCTGGGGCCATCTTGGAGGCCCTCTTGGGCGATCTTGGGGCGATCTTTGAGGGCTCTTGGGCCGTCTCGGGTCGTCGGAGGACCGGAAAGAAGCGAATGCCAAAATCCGTCGAAAACCTACGGAACATCAATGATTTTGGCCTCGTCGGGCCTTCCTGGAGGACCTCTTGGAAGCCTCTTGGGTCGTCTTGGGCGATCTTGATGCCATCTTAGACCATGTTGGAGACTTCTTGGGCGGACTTTGAGGCATCTTGGACCCTCTTGGGCCGTCGTGGAGGCCATAACTGACCATCTTGGGCGAACTTAAGGCCATCTCGGGCCATCTGAGTCGTCTTACAAGCCATCTTGGGCCATCTTGGAGCGAGAAAGTACATTTGCGGCGCCCTTCCGGGTGACCGGCGGGACACAACACCAAAATCAAAACTGGTAGGGTTGTGCACGCCAGGCACCCCTGTGGCGATCCTAGTGGCCTTCGGCCATTCCACCACCGTGCCTGGGTTGTGGGTCTGAGGCCTCTTGTATATGTTTTGGGGTGTCGTAGGGATCCTCTTCGGGGCCTCTTCGGAGGCGGTTTGGGCGCCTCATGGGGGCCTCGTGGGGTATGGGCCTCTTGGAGGCGTCTTGGGCGCGGCCTCTTGGGGCCTCCTGCTGAGAGCTTCTCGGGGCACAAATATTAAATGTTCGGATCGTGGTCCCCTGCTTGGGCCCCTCTTGGAGCCCTCTTGGGCCGTCTTGAGCGCTTCTTTTGCCATCTTGGAGCCCTCTTGGGCCGTCTTGGGGCCCTCTTGGAGGCGTCTTGGGCTGTCTTGGGGCGGTCTTTGGAGCTTCTTGAGCCGTCTTGGAGCGTCGGGAAGCCAAACATGCGAGAAGGCCAGAATCCGTCAAACAACTTTGTACAATCTAATTACGATGTTGGCCTCTTGGGGCTCTTTCGGGAGGCCTCTTTGGGCCCTCTGGGGCCGTCTCGGAAACAGCTTCTGGCGCCTTGGAGCACTCTTGGCTTCGGTAATGCGAATATGGCGTATTTTGAACGGTTTGTTTGGCTTCGGGGGCGCGAATATTGCAGAATTTAAACGGGCGTGTTGCCTCGTAGACGCGCAAGTTGTGTAACTTACTAGGTTTGTGGCCTTGGGGACGCGATTATTTCGAACATTACGAAGGAATTGTAGCCTTGGGGGCGCGAATCTGAAGTATTTTTACGTGTCCCACGCCCCCCTTGGAATTCAGGGAACGCGATCCACGCGTGGTAACTGGCTGGTTTGGGGCTCATCCCCCTCGCGCGGACTTCAACAATTTACAGTAGAAAGCAGACAGCAGGATTGTAACATTGGAGACTTGAAACTACAACTGGTGCAGGGGCAGCGCACTTCGGCCTACAGCCTTGTGGCCCACAAGGGGGCCGCCGGAGTGAGAGAGAGAGAGAGAAAGAGAGAGAGCGAGAGACAGAGAGAGACAGAGAGATACACACACAACACACAACACACACAACACATAACACACACGACACACACAACACACACACAACGCACACAACACACACACACAGCACACAACACACAACACACACACAACACACACAACACACAACACACAACACACACAACACACAACACACAACACACACACAACCACACACAACCACAGACAACCCCACACACATATATATATATATATATATATATAATGACCTTCGGCTCATCCTCCCACCGTGCATGGGTTGTGGGCCATAGGCCTCTAGGATGTTCGTTGGGATGTCGCGGGGGACCCCTCGGAGGCCTCCTGGAGGCCGTTTGGAGTCCTCTTGGGGGCCGTTTTGGGATCTTTTGGGGCGTCTTGGGGGGATCTTGGGGGTCGCCTCGGGCCTCATGGGGGCCTGTTGGCGCCTCCTTTGGGCCTGCGCGGGGCCTCCAGGGCGCCTCTTGGGGCGGACGACTAGAATTTTCCGTTCGTGTGCTATCTTTGGGCCGTCCTGGGCGCCTCTGGGGCCGTCTTGGGCGCCTCTGGGGCCGTCTTGGAGCCCTCTTGCGCTGCCTGGGGGCCCCTTGGCCCGTCTCGGGGCGGTCTTGAGGGCAAGAATTCCCCCCGCCTTATCAGAAGTCCTCCCCCCTCGCGTTACCCTTAAGCGCGCCGCGAGTTGTCGTCCGACGCGACTTCTAACGTTTTCGGGTCGTAGCTCCTGTCTCTGGCAGCCGTTCGTGACGATTCGGGCACCCCTGGAACGCTCTCGGCGAGGCGCAGCTGCTGGAGAACGTCCAAACGAGGGCCAACGAAAATGCCAGACAAACTCTACAACACCGCCAAGAACCAACGAGAGCGTTGGACAAATGGGAGTACTGATGCCCGAAGATCAACAAGAACCGCTAAGAAGCCCCCGTTGCGCCGCGAATCCTCCTTGTGCCCTCCAGTCGAGGGAAGAAACTCGACGACCATGGTCAATACGTCGCACGATTTCATCGATGCTGGCGTTGGTCAGGGTCCATGCCGGCCGTCGCCGATTTGCGAAGCTCATCCATCATTTGAGGAGGGCCAACATGGATGATGACAAAGATCGACATCGACTTTTGCGTCAGTCTTAGCTCGGAAACCAAGAACTGCGTAGACACAATTTCTTCGAACTCCAGGCGGATTTCTTGAATCGGCGCTGGCCCCCCCCCCAGCGGCGCCTCTGGCGCCGCCCATGTCACGCTGCGCGCGCCAGGGAGGGAGGTCCAGCGCACGGATCTCCGAGAAATCATGGTTAAGTGTTTTGTTCTTCTAGTCGTGGTCCTCGTTCTCCTCTCCTTCCTCCCAGGACGTGGTCCGAGCGGGGCAGCTGTGCAAGACGAACAGCACGCCGCCCCTCTTCGGCCGCGTCGCTCTGGCCGAGGGCGCGGGCTGCCCCGAGGAGGAAAAGGCCCCAGGGCGACGGCGGGGCATCGCCCACGCCGGGGAGGAGGCAGGAGGAGGAGGAGGAGGAGGAGGAGAAGGGAGGATCGAGGTCCGAGGTGAAATCGTTGCGACAAAATCACAATCGACGGTATTATGTAATTTTCTGTCTCCAGGGGCCCTCGTGATTCTGACACCCTCCTCCGTGCGCCCATTTTGGCTCAAGATGAAAAGGAGATATTGTTGTCCATCGGCATACTATCTCATCATGGTAGCGTGAGCTGGCCACTCACTGCTGCCGACCCCACCAAGGCCTCGGCGCGCCGCGGCCGCGGGCGCCACGGCGAGCTGGCAGGAGGCTCGAGGCTGGAAGAGGGCGGCATCGACCGCAGCGAGCTCGGCAGCGACCGAGCAACCGGCAGGGGCCGGGAAGAGTGGCCGCAGGCGCGGCAAGAGGAGCGACGCAGCGATTGAGACCAGGCGCAAGGCCCTCCAGTTCAAGCACGACTTGAGGGAGGCAGGCAACAGGCTTCGCGACCTCGCGCACATCGAGGACCATCCTTCGGAGAACTCCTCAGACGTTGTCGAGAGAACGCAGAAGGAAGTCCTAGGCCGGATCACGGACCTCGAGCGTACGAGGCAGGAGATAGCGGAGAGCAAGGAGGAGCTCGCCGAGAGACACGCTGTCAAGCATGGACGAGCAGGTTCGGCAGCAGTTCGAACTGCTGAGGCAGGAGTTCGCGGCTCGAATGAGTCAGACCGCCGACGAGATGAGGAGGCTGGAAAACGAGAATCAGCGGCTTCAGCAACAAGTAGCAGGAGGCCTCGCGGCAATTCCGCAGGCGATAGAACGTATGGGCGAGCAGATCAGAGGCGCGTCGAGCGCGGGAGGAGCCGCTCAAGGTCTCGTCGACACGAAGGGGATTGGCAAGCCCACGACGATGGGCGACGATCAAGAGAAGTTCGGGGCTTGGAATCGCAAGATGGAGAACTACGTGATAGGCGTGTACGGAGAGAGCTTCCGTCCCGTTCTTCGGTGGGCTGCAGAAGCCGAACGCCCCGTGACGATCGAGGGGGCACAGGCGGCGCACGACGGAGTACCAGAGCTGGAGACCAAGGTCAACCAGCTGTACGCGGCGCTGATCAGCACGACGGCGGACGGCAGCGAGAGCAACGACCTCGTGACGGGCGCCCCCGATGGGAACGGTCTCGAAGCCTGGCGGAAGCTCCACCGCAGGTGGGATCCGACGACAGGTCCGAGGAAGAGGCTGATCCTGAGGTCGATCATCTCGCCTCCGAAGTGCAGCGCGGACGAGCTGGGATCAGCCTTAGAGAAGTGGATCCAGCAGATAGGCAGGTACGAACGCCGCCAAGGAGAAGATGGTCTAGCCGAGCTGCCGGAGGATATCAAGATGGCGGCCCTCGAGATGCTCGTGCCTCAGGACATCGAGAACCACCTCGTCCTCAACAAGCATCGGCTCGTCACGTTCCAGGACAGTCTGAACGAGGTGATGACGATCGTGGAGGCTCGGACCGGCGTGAAGATCAAGGAGCCATCGATCCGTGCGCGGGCACATCATCCGGACGACATGGACGTCGGGTCATTCGGAGCCCCGAAGGGCAAAGGCAAAGGCAAGGGCAAGGACGGCAAGAGCAAAGGGAAAGGCAAGACTCAGGAGCCGAAGGGGAAGAGCAAATCGACGAACGGATCATACTCAGGCTCCCGCACGTCCCCGACGGGTTCGGGCCGTGGTTCAGGGCACACGGCACCTCGAAGCACCAGCGGGCGCTTCGACGGCTACTGTCGGAACTGCGAGAGATGGGGCCACAAGGCATCCGACTGCTGGAAGAGAGAGCAGGGATCGAGTACGAGGGCTGGAACTGGATCCGCAACGGGGGCAAGCGCTGGTGGTAAAGTCGGTAGCCGCGGTGGCAAGGCCGGCGGCAAGGCGGCAGGCAGCCTGGAGGAGGAGCCTGAAGCGGAGGTCGCCGCTCTGGACATGGGCAGCCTGGACTGCCTGGAGCTCGCCAGCGGCAGCGGCCGCGGCGTAGCGGCGGTCGATCTCTCCCCCTTCGCGCAGGACGACTGGATGAAGTTCAACTGGGACAGCGGTGCAGCTATCTCAGCATTCCCTCGAAGCTTCGCGTCGCCGACGGGAATGAAGGGCAACGGCAGCACGTATCGCACGGCCAGTGGTGAGCTCGTCCCGGACGAGGGCAGCTTGCAGCTCAAGGCGGAGGACGAGTACGGAGTGCTACGAGCGCTCAAGGGACGCGTGACGAACGCGCACAAGCCGTTGATCTCGGTGGGGCAGGCAGCAGGAGCTGGACAGTGTTCATTCCTGGGCCGCAATGGCGGCTGGATATTCCACGAGAAGAGCCCAATCGGCAAGCGCGTGGTAGGCATGCTCGAGAAGGAGGCGAAGGCGGCGAAGCACCAGATGCTGCCGGTCTATCGCGAGCAGGGTGTCTACAACTTCTACCTCAAGAAGGGCCAACATGGCTCGGTTGCTCCTCTCGAGGAGGGACTTTCGGCGAAGTCAAAGTCCGAGCTGGTGGAGCTCCTCAGCGGCAAGTCGAAGGAGGAGCTGCTGGAGATCCTCGAGAAGACAGTCCCCAGGAGGCAGCCCTCGGCGTAAGTCCACTGGAAGACTCAATACCACGGCCCCCTGCGGCATCAGCTGCGGGGGCGGCAGCGGCGGGATCGGGACCTTCCGACGTGAGACCGCCAGGTTTTCAGCCAGCGGCAGCTGCTGCGGCCGACGCTTTGCCAGCTGCTCCTGATGGACAGCAGGCCGACGAGGGCGAGGAGGAGGCTCGCCCGAGAGTGCTGAAGGCACCTCATGAGCCCTCTCAGAGGGAGATCGCTGAACACGAGGCGATGGGACACGCGACTTATCGCAGCTGGTGTCGCGTGTGTATCGCGGCAAAGGGCCAAGGCCAGCCGCATCTCCGCGCACCGGAGGACGACGAGACAGCGGTGCCGGTGGTCTCGTCCGACTACGCCTTCATGGGCCAGGACGACGCGGACACCATGCCGATGCTGGTCCTTAGGGATCGGCGCTCGAAGATGATGGCAGCGACATTCGTGGAGAAGAAGGGCGACGACGCCTACGCCATCAAGTTCTTCGCACGCTTCTTGCGGATCCTGGGCTACAGGAAGATCGTCAACAAGTCCGACGGCGAGCCAGCGATCCTGCTGGTCAAGAGGCGTGCGGTGGAGGAGGTTCCTGGCCTCGAGGCCATTCCCCAGGAATCGGCACCGGCCGATCATCAGGCCAATGGGGAGATCGAGGTCACGGTGCGCGAGATCAAGAAGCAGGTGCGGGCGCTCAAGATGGACCTGGAGTCCAAGCTGGGCGTCAAGGTGGAGGACAAGCACCCGGTGCTAGCGCACCTGCCGGAGCACGCCGCATCGGTAATCAACCGATACCGGCGCGGCCAGGATGGCAAGACCGCTCTTCAGCGGCTCACGGGACGGCAGTGGAGGAAGCCGGTCCCGCTCTTCGGCGAGCGCTTGATGGCGCGGTTCGCCGGGGAGCGCGCGAGGAAGAACGCGCTGGAGGAGCAGATGGTGGAGGCTCGCTACATCGGCCACCACCCGCGCGACGGCTCGATGATGGTCATCACGAGCGACGGCGTGAAGAAGGCGGTCGGCTTTCGCAGCCTGCCGCAGAGCGAGAAGTGGATCACGGCGGGCTGGGATGGCCTGAAGGGCCTGCCGTGGGACGTGGCTCCGCGTGCGGCAAGCGCGCCGCGGGCCATCGTCGGACCTGGAGAGGTCGGTCCGCCACCAATTGTGGTGGTGTCGCCGCAGCCGCAGGCGCCGAGGAGGATGTACGTCCTCAAGGCGGACATCGAGCGGCTGGGCGCAACGCCGGGATGCCCAGGGTGCGTCTCGATCGCCAAGCACGGCCGGGTGCTGGCGGGCCACGCGCACAACGCGGTGTGCAGCAAGAGGATCTTCGAAGCGCTGGACGCGGAGGAGGCAGGCCGGGAGAGGACCGGCCAGTATCGAGAGCGGAGGCAGGGCCAAGAGGCCAGAGTCCGACCGGCGGCAGCGGCCGCGGCAGGGACCCCTCCGCCGAAGACGGCGCGGAGGATCACCGAGCCGGTGGCAGCGGCGGCAGCGGCATCGGCCGCGCCGGCCGCGACCCGATCGGCAGCAGCGCCAGCCGTGGCAGCCACAGCGGTGCGCATGCGAGAGAGCCAGCCGGTAGCACCGGGCTTCGGCGTGGCGGCTCCTTCAGGAGGAGCGAGCTCCAGTTCGGGAGCGGCGCGAGCGGCAGAGGCCGCCGCGGATGTCGACATGACCGCGGCCAGGTCGCGGCTGAAGCGCTTGGCAGAGGTGGCCCCGGATGACGTGCCGGAGGCCCTCGAGCGCGGTGATCCACAGCCGGCAGACGTGCCGGTACCGGTGGACATGGAGGATCTCGCGGCGCAGCCGGCGCCAGCGGAAGGACCTCAGCTGCCAGCTGGAGTGGCAGTCGTGTGGAACGCCAGTGAGGGGAGGCACATGCGGGTGCTCGCCCTCGATGTGGCGTCGATCGAGCTGGTTGAGCTCGGAGTGCTGACGAGAGCGAAGGCGGAGTTGCTCCCGCTCGTTCGCGAACAGGTCAGTGGCCATTGGGCCAGCGCCGGCGTGGACATCGCCGACGAAGAGGTGGACAGCATCGCCCTATCGGCGTTGCAGCTGGGCGCCGTGGACGTGGCCGAGGTGTACTCGCCACATCGGTTCTCGGCTCGGGCAGCGGAATTTCAGCTGCGCCCGGGCTTCGCGGCGGACCTGGAGGAACTCAAGGAGGACGGGGCGCCGTGGGACTTGCGGCGCCCCGAGGATGTCAAGGAGCTCGAGAGGCAGCAGGAGCGGATGGATCCCATCCTGCTCACGGGGTCCCCTCCATGCGAGAAGTTCAGCTTGCTGAGGGGCCTGAGCGCCAAGTTCAGGACCGATGAGCAGGAGGCGGCTGAGATGGAGGAGGCCAGACACCACCTGAAGGTGGCAGTCGACGCCTACTGGCGTCAGCT